GCCTAATGAAGATGTTAATCAGTCCATGATTGGCAATTCAATCTAACGAAACTGTTTATCGTACATTGTACTAAAAGTAATCGATATGTGATCACGTGACAAAATTACAAATGTTGCCGAACAGAAAGCGGACTGTAAATAACACGATTATTTCTAGTAATACGCATTTAAATGCTACATTCTAAATAAGGGAACTAGCAATGTCAAGGAGAAGCGCTATTTATACCGACATGGTTTCATATATACATTCAAGCGTTCAAGTATTACTTCCTCCTGCAATATTGTGCAGCCTCGATCTCACTTTCCGTAATAGGTGAGCTTCTGTGAATGGATTGTGCAACGTTTCAGTGAGAATATACACACGAGCTAAACAAATTTCTTCTAGACCCGCAACAGAAAATGTAAACTCTATTGAGAAAAGAAAAATTATTTAGAAGCTAGAAATTTGGAATTAGAGTTAATTATTGAACACGTATCTTTTCCAAATAATGTAAAATATTGTAGCATCAATGATTCTTTCGTCGACGTGGCTCGTGGCCACGTGAGCACCCGGTAGCGACGTGTTCGCACTCGCGGCAAGATGGTCGAGAAGCTTAAAGGACATATTGAATCCTTAATGAGACATTCCGATACCGTTGTCGCGGCCTCGGCGTGGCGCGGCCGCCAAGTATGTGGGACGCTTGGTATGGTGCCGATCATCCGGATGAACATGTATGGTCATCACGCACGATCTAGCATAGCGACGTGCGTATCGCCGAATCCACCACCGTCCACGTTTTCATCGATCGCACAATCGCCCAATCGGTCGCTAGCAAAAACCGGTTCTTCCGGTATTCGTGCGCCGTTGTCTTTCTCAAGACACTTAATTTCGGGATTATCACGTTAAAAGAATGTTAATCTTTTCTGCGATCCTCTTTCTTTAATCGCGTTGGCATACCGAGCTGTTTCGTCGAATATTCCGAGTTTTAGAAAAATATATCACGAAACGTTAAGAGAAAGAATTTCTATACGTTTGAGGGATTCGAACAGACGACATGCTGTGATAAAGATTATTCGCGTGCGCGTATTTGCACAGTAGGAGACCAGTGTTCGATGATCGAGCTGTTTTCCTTCATGTCGACAAATTCTGAAAATTATTTCATCTCGCGATTTCATCTCTGCGATAAACTCGCAGGCGATTCACACTCGATATTTTTAACGTTATCGTCATCGTTTTCGTTGTTAATGTTGGTCGTTTACAAAATGGCGATACAAAGACTCATATTACGTTTTGTTTTACTTGTTATCTCTTTGAATATGTTCTGACGATATATTCTCCAATAAGATAAGAGAAATGCCGACAAATAGAAATTTATACGCGACTTTATAAACCATTCATATTACACTGACTACTTCATAACTTTCAGAATATGAAGTCATTCTTATATACATCTTTTAATTGAAGATTGTAAACAACCTCTATATCGACGTAATTAAGAAATAAAATCTCGCGCGTGTTACAACGTTATTATGCAATTCTATTTCCAGCAGCACCAGAAACGGCAGAACTTTCGCAACGCGTATGAAAAAATTCATACTTCATTTTATTGTAATACATCATTTTTTTTATGTTTCTGCACGTTTCTAATGTTGCCGACTGTAGAGTCGCCACGTGTGCTATTATAAGTGACCATCAGATCAATATACCATTCGTTCGTATTGATCGTAAATAATATACAACCTTGCGAGTAAAATACAATCGTATCGATAAAAATTTGCCGGTTTTTATTTTCTTTATTGTTTCCAAAACTAATAATAATAAGACGTTGTACATAGTCTTAACATCTTCGACGTTAAATGTTTACAAAATGTGTTTAAAAATATATCTAATAATTAAACTATTTTATTTTTTATGGTGTGTGTATGTTTTGCGAATCATTTTATACGAAGTCGAGTAAATGTAACATGGCAAGCAGAAGCCATCTTTTCTGTCTGGCAAAGATACTTTGTTAACCGCTTCGTAAGAGGATTACCGTTACGTGGTTATGCCACTGCACAGGTTCAACGTCACGGTGTAAACTGCGCGCGACCATGATGATGCGTGTGCACATAGTACGTGCTTTTAGATCGATCAAAAAATCGGTCACAAACTTTTATCAAAATGCTTTGTTTTCTATTTACTTTATTATAGTATTTTTATACTATTTATTTTACTACTCTTTATAATTTTAATGAATGCAGTACATACACGCGCACAAGTTGATAAGTTTGTTTCGTGTTTGTTTTCTCGAAAGTTTTGAAAGATTCTATAAGTTTGAAATTAATCAAAAGCGCGACTTGCGAAAATCGCATAGCATCTCGCAAGTTTTGAAGAGAGCATTGGGAGAATGTATTTAAATAAGAATGCTGTGCGGAGAATGCAAACTTTATGAAAGCCAATGTAACGAACGTCAGTCAAGGTTGAAAATTGTCTTCCGGAGTTTTGTATTTCGGTTTTAAAATAAAATATATAGAATAAATTATTAAATAAAATATATAGAAATTGCGTGTGAAAAAACAGTAAAATACTAGTGATATAAATTAATAAAAAACTAATAATATTGTATAAACTAAACATTATTATTAAAGAACCGATAAAAAAGAAAATGTTGTGAAAATATTGGTATCTCTTTTTGAAAAGATATTCGAAATAATTTACAGAGCAAAATATTTAAATAAATAAATTTTTTCTGTTAAATGATAATATGTAAAGAAAGAATTTCGTGATAACATAGTAATGAATATGTAAATAGATTTGCAAATATACAGACTTTCGAAAGAGCTTCTATAATTGAAGTTTCACTTAAGAATAAATATTTTCCGTATTCTTTCGCGATTGGAGACAAATGTTCGGATCGAGGCCAGTGAGAAAGTTAAATTTCCCTCTAGAAAGTATCGCGATCCCAACCCAATAATCCGGAGAAGTTGTTTCTAATTCAGTTGTGATAAAGGCTCGGAGCGTAAAACGCGCTTATCAAAGTCGCAACACGTTATATCACATACTTAGCATATATTTGTGGAGTAAGCGGTGAATAGTCTCCTTGACATATTATGCTATTGAAATGAAATGGACTTAAATCGCCATTATTTCATTTCCTGAAATAAAAGCGTCATCATCTATAATATATTAATATTAGACAATCGAGCTGAGATTAATCAAATTGAAATCGTATATGTACATAGTTAGGAGCATACATAAGTCATCAAAGAATTAGCTAATTAAAATAAAAATTTAAGTTTTACTCTCAATATTTCTTGACTTTCTACTTTTCTTTATTTTCTATAATATTTATTTCAAACATTTGAATTTGATAATAACAGTCATCGATCTCTTGCAGTCTATTCAACCGCGAAATTTATTAGTTGCAATACAAACAGCTCAAGAAAAGCTTAATTATCGAAATATAAAATAATGAAATAAAGAAAGAACGAGGAATCCTAAAAATTAAAGATAAATCAATCCTTTTAAAAGAAATTCATTATCATTCAGAATGTTTTCTCGTAGATAAGGTGTGCTGGACAGATAACATGTTGTCTTAATTTTATATTACTGTCGTGTATAAAGTTTAACAGATAAATTTAATTGCGTAAGAAAGATGAAAATATCAAAACTTTTAGCTGGAAAAAAAACGATGAACATGGGATTGAACATTGTCAACAGTCGAAAATATTGCCGTAGAATATTACTCCTCGATATGACCTCTCGTACATATCGTAGTTACGTACGATAACCAGTCACGTCGAATTTTATTGCCGCCGAAGTATGTGGAATTGTGACTTAGCAATAACATGTGTAGATGTAGTGTTACGTAACGTTATTCTCATTTGCATGCGACGTTTCTAAGGAAATCCATCTGAATGTAAATAATCGAGAAACTCACTTTTGTAGTCGTTTTTTCTCGCTCGCACTCGATCTGTGTCGCGCAAGAACGCGAAGAGTAATCGACATCGTTTTGTTGGCGATATTATGTTGAGTTAAAAATTCAGAAAATAAGAACACGAGTGAAATTTTTACAATGATTAGCTTGACGCTTGGCAATTCTCCGAAATAGAACAATAGTAGGCGGCCAAGATGAAAATTTTGCAAAAAGGAATGACACGCATCGTGCATTTCTAATCTTAAATCTCGCGTGTTTAATAATCAAGTGCGTGTTGCAACAGTTGGCAACATAAGGATAGTATAATATTTACAGACACTTGTAATGTTATTAAAATTGAAGAAAGTAAATAAATATTTTCAATTATGACATAAGATTCTGTCACAAGTTTTAAATAAAAACTAACAACAGGAACACATATTTATCATTATCAAAAAAATTATCGCTTCTGATTGTTTGATCAACTTACAATAAGTCGGTTAGAATACACACTGTTTCATGGTGTTATAAAAATATACAAGTGCTCTAAGTATCTATTATTAACTATTACGTGATAAGCACTGAATCTATCGTAAAGTAAACCTGAGCTACAAATAGAAAATTTAAATTTGAAAAAATAAATCAAGAAATGATTTAAAAAATGCAGTTTATAATCGTAGAATTTAGTAACTAGTATTTAATTATTTCGAAAAATATTAAATTATGAATTTATTAAAGAAATATCATTTATGAATTATAAAAAACCATTATATGAATTATAAAAATACCATTATACTATATATATATTACGTTTCTCGAATAAGTCTAAATATTTACATATTGCGCGGCTAACGTTATCCTATCCCGAAGAAAACCGATACGACACTTGAGGTCACGTCTTTGCTACACCATTTCTTTCCCGCGACGACTCTCTGTAACTTCGCTAAATAACACTCGAGTTTACTATCGGAGCGTAAATTTAGTATCAAAGTAGATGCGTGTGTCCTAGTTTGTCATGTCTCAACACGAGAGCGTGCAAAGTCCTCTCATTTTCCCGTTACCTGTGTTTGCACGCGGATGGAATACGTACAAGGGGAATTTTTTAAAAGCAAGTCGCGTGCTTACCAGCTGCACCAGTTTGATGATGCCGGGTATAGTCTTGAAATAAAGCGCGTTTAATCGGATACCGGCCAGGGGATTCGGCTGACCCGGTTCCGTCTTCACCGTTGGCACTTGGCGCGGATTGTTGCTGGTGTTGTTGCTGGAGCCGTCCATCGTCACCACGGTCTCCGACATCATGTTACGCCGATCCTTACACGCTTCGAGTTCACCACACGCGCTTCGCTTGCTCGCTCGCTCGCGTTCACGCTCGCCTCGCTCTCGTATACCTCCGCTGCTCTCGCACACTCCGTTCCGGAGTGAAAGGCGACGGGGAGTATAAACACCGAGAGAGCAAAATGGAAAACCGTCGAACCGGTACCGCGCAGGAGAGCGCCGAGATCGCGGGACACCTGTTGTATGTTCACTACGACCCGCGTGCACGGAGGCCTTTACTGCTGCGCACTACCTACCAGTGTGTTAACAGCGGAGGAACTACTCTCCCACTGTCACATTGCCGTCTCAGTGCCGGATCAATCTGAGATAAAAAACGTCATGAAGTTTTCTATCGGACAGATTAAATAAGATAAACTACAAAAGCAAGAAGAACAGAGAAGAAAACTCAGAGAGTCAAACCTAGCTAGTGAATTTTATGTGTTACTTAAGTAAAAACCAATAGTAAATCTATAATTTATGAAATATTGTATAAAACATTCAATATTAATAGAAAAACAAATTAAAATATTAAAATAGAATATTTAAATAGAAAAACAATTAAAAGCGACTTACGCATTGATGTTTATTGTGAGTTAGCAATTGTATTATCATCGACGTTTTAGTTATAAATCCGTCACTGCTTTACCCCACTTCTCATTCTTGTTTGCGGTAGTATAGCACAGTAGTAGTAGTACACGTCGCCACGTTACGTGCAGCTTTCAATATTTCTTCTTCCGCTCCCATCATTATGCTTGTCGCCCAAGTGTGCTGACAATTTTTTTTATCAATTCTCTTTTAACGTAAAAATTGCTTATTTACGTATTTTTCAGTAATTTTGGTTATTTTGACTCTAAATTTCTTTTCAAAATTCTTTTCTTTTCTTTTTCTCTTTTCCACACTTTACGTCCGCTTATATATCTTCGTACGTTTTATTACGCTGCTAGAAAAAAAAACACTTTATTGAGAATTATTATTTAAAGTTTATTAGCGCGAGTTTGATTCCGTGATTCAAACTTACATCTTTTTAAATCACCAGTCAATCGAGTTATCGTTCATTGATCACGTGACATAGCGTAAGTCACGTGACGTACGACGTATCAGCTGATAAATACTACGTTCGTACATGCGCAAGCTGACATCTTCTGAATGTCCGGTTGGCGCCGTATGTTAGGTGCGTTGATCGCAGCTGATGATACAAGTTGTCAATGTTATGAACAAAACATCTGATTTGTGTGAATACGAAGCAAATCTTGTGCGTCTTTTTACATCCGACGACGGAAGGAAATGACAGGAGCGGCTGGAATTGAGAGCATCTAGGTACTAATCGAAGGGTACCCTCGAACAAATCAATGGCATAAATGCGCTCGGCTATCAGTGTTATTCTGTCGAGTCCGGTGCCCGACAACAAGATGTCCCATCCCGATTACGAGCAAACTGCCCACGATCACGCTGCTCTTCTGCTGCTGCTGAGACCGATCGGCACGCAGATCAAGCCGAAGACGGTCAGCAAATTATGTGAGAGAATCATCAAGGCTGGCAGCAGGTTCTCCGTGTCAGATTCCAGTGGCGGCACTCGGGAAATCCTTGCCAGGTTCGTCAGAGAGCATCCCGTGGAAAACAACGACTGGGGAGACTTTCAGACTCATCGAAGACTATTGGGTCTGATTACGTTTGGCAAGTATGACAATCAGGCTGAGTTGAACGAGCTGTGCAGAGTGCACGAAACCCTGAAGGTGAAATATGTTAGCACACTATATGATTCGCGAGCTGTTCTCTTTGGTCCTGCGGAATCGAATGGACGCCACGAGCCACCACTAGATTTTACTACACCTAGCAATTTCAAGACACGAGCGGTGTTTTACGCAGATGAAACGTGTCCTGATCTGGAAGTACAAATAGCCGAATATCTTAATTTTCTTTTCTGGATTTTGGAGTCGAAGAGATTGGAGCGTTCTAAGGAAAGAATAGACCGTGTCTCTCTTCTGTTAGCTCCTTTTGAAAAGAAAGATTTTATAGGATTGGATCTTGAGTCTAGAAATAATAAGAAAAGATGCGTGGGTCGTATGACAAAGCATTTAGGAGACCTGTGTCTTCAAGCTGGTCTTCCAGCTGATGCATTGAACAATTATAATTCCGCAGCCAACATTCTGCAAGCAGTTAATGACTGGCTGTGGTTAGGAGCAGCGTATGAAGGTCTGTGTGCTGCTTCAGTTTTAGTTCTTTATCCTAATATGTGTCGAAGTCTTCCATTGCAAAGAAATTCCTCCTTGCAGGAAGGAAGTCCAAGTAAGCAAAGGTATGAATAATTTCTAAGAATTATTTAACTTTCTTTCACAAAAGTAATTTTATGAAAATTTGAATTAGAATCTGTTAATGCAAAACTTGCTTGAAAAATATATTAATAATTTCTTATTTTATATAGACGAGGATCACAAGCTGTCACAGTTCTGCCATCTCCACCTAGTATAGAGATAGTAAAGTCTAACATGCCACATATTTTGCTACCTGAAGAAATATCTAAGAAATATCGTGAAGCTATAGTACATTATAGTAAATATCAATATGCAGGTATAATTGAAACTGAAGCTAGTTTCAAAGCCACAAGAATCTCAATAGAACAGAACTGCACCTTGCAAGCAGCATCATATTTAAATAATGTTGTTCTAATCAATTTACCTCTCAGTGAGCAAGAAAAAGTATGTAATATAATACAATGTGAATAAAATTTCAAGATATATCGAAGATTTAGTATTACACACTAAAATATTTTAGATTGATCGATTTACTACATTATCAGATTTGTATACAAGTTTTGGATTTGATAGAAAAGCTTCATTCTGTTTACGATTAGCTGCCACACGTCATGTATCACAAAATAATCCCAATCCAGACTGGCAGCAATGTTATAACTTAATGCTACAAGCTACATCCGGTTTTAAACTATCTTTAGATCCCGTTGATATGCCACCAGGTAATTAGAGGATTATTTAATACATAAGTGTTAGATAATCAAATAAAAAATTTTATGCAAAAATTCTAATTATATACTCTATATTGTTTTGTTTACATGTTTCTACTTTCTTCTTTTGTTCTTTTTTTTTTATAGATGGACAAAGGGGATGGCCTGCTATACAGATTCAAATAATAAACGAACTTGTTGCTGCTGCGAACAGAATGGGTAATCCTGCACTTGCTACAAGGCATTTGACATTTTTACTTCAGACAATGTACAATCATCTGACATCCAATGAACGAAAAGATACCGCACTACAGCTTCAAAATGTATCTCAACAGTGTGAGGGCGCACCCGTTCCCCTTGTATGTTAACAAGAATATAATAATAATATAACATAACATAACGTAACATAATATACGTAAATATAATTTATTTTTAAAATAAATATTATCTTTTATAATAGGTTTTAGATTCTGGTACCGTCATACCACCGGCTAATTTGTTAAATATACCAAAAACAAAATTGTTTACTCTGAAAAACATGCAGCCACATTTGCAGCCTCAAAAAATAGAAAGAGTAAAAGAAGATCATGGTCCATTTTTGTTTACTCCAATTAATTTTGGGTCGCTAGAGCGCAAAAATACTTCGAAAAGTAAAGTTGGTACGTGTATGCATATACAATAACATGGTTTTAATCAATAATATTACATATTTATTTATTTGGGAAACGTTTTGTCACAATAGATTATTTATGGGTGGAAGGAGACATTTGCGAGGTATCGATGCAGCTCATAAATCCTTTGCCGTTTGAACTGCATGTGTCAAATATGAGACTCTTGACGAATGGTGTGGTATTCGAATCGATACCGGAAAGTATTAGCCTGCCTGCTGAATCCGGACCAATCGCTGTTACGTTAGCAGGCAGACCTAAGGAAATTGGAGACTTAGAAATACTTGGATTTAGCACACACACGTTAGGAGTTAAATCTAACTGTAGATTGAGACATATGGAGGGTATGTTACACCCTCAATATACGGTCGAAGTCATTCCAGCTTTACCAAGAATTGATGTCGCAACTAGTCTGCCTCAAACTGCTAGTTTTAGTTCGGGCGACAATATAGTTACTAGCGCGAGCATATCGCTTTATGGCGGTGAAAGGTACGCATCTGTTGTATGTAAGCGCTATAAAGTTTTTTAAATATATATTTGTATCTATCTTTACTTATATGTTTAGTGCCGAATGTACCGTTACAATAACGAACGGCGGGCAAGTTCCTATTGAAATGGTCGAATTATCAGTACAGTCCGCCTTGGACGCTGCAACCGAAAGTAAAATTTTCAAATGGAGCGACGAGAATCTGAAAACACAATTACCTTTACAAGCGGGCAATAGTGCGAGTCTTACTTTATATCTTTATGCAGCGACAGATTTTGTAACACCATCGATTAGAAATGGTAAATTACAATAATTTTTTTTAAGTATTTTTCTCGATTTTTAAAATACTGTTTCATTTTTCAGATATTATTAGCAGTACCTGTCTTAGTCAGCCAAGCAGTTTAATGTCACATTCGGGCCACAGTTCTTTGCCATCTAGACTTAGTTCTCCATCTCATCATACAAAAAGACAATCTGAACTCACTTCCTCCTTTAGATCGGGAGTAAGTTCGCATTCCGGCCATTCTTCCTTGGCAAGCACGCGTTTGTCAAAACTCGCAGTACCTTTGCACACATCTAACATTATCGAGGGCCAATTAAAAATCAAGTATTCAGGAGGTGCAGGTTTAGTAGCTGGTTATTGTAGAACTTCGTCTGTTTTTATAACTATTGAGATGCTACCTAGTGTGCAAATTACTAATTGGGATGTACTACCAGCCGAAACGTAAGTTACGAAAACACAATGTTCGTTAAGAAAAAAATGTTTATTTGCATATAATATATATTTTCTTGTGCAATTATCAGTGTTTTTCTTATAAGTAAAGAGTTGCGTTTATAAATATTTTTTAGACCATTGCAATTTTATCTTGTATTGGACGTGACAAATATGACAAATCATGAAATGGAACTGCATTACACGCAAAATAAATGTATATACATGGAAGGTAAAGAACCGTGTAGAATTCCTGTTCCAGTTGACAGATGTCCGCTTAGTAAATTGTCTACGGTAATGAGAAAGAAAGATACGATCTCTCTATTGAAAACACATTGTGACATAATGATATTTTATCAATTTTTTTTTTTTACAGTTGAATGGTGCCGGTGATCTCAGTGAACTCCAGAAAATATGTGCTGAGCACATAGCCTCGCTAGTCGACTTGCGCTGGCAATTATTAGGTACCGAGTCAACGGGAAAAGCAACTCTATCCGGTATTACGCTAACTCAGGATATGTTAGATCTAGTCAGAATGAGTCCTCTACAGTGGGGTGTGTACATGCTGTTCGTTATATTTACATACACAGATATGGAAGTATATAACATAAAAAAGTAATATATAAATGAAATTTTTTTCAGAAATAACAATTAACGATAATATCGTAAAAGCGCAAGATGAACTGACTTATGCTCTGGGTGAATGTATCAGTGTCGGTGTGGGAGTGTGCAATGCTCTAGAACATCCGCTAAATGATCTTATGTTATCTATTAATTTCTACCAGGATCATCACAATGGAGTAAATAATTATCAATTAGAAACAAGATTGTCTATAGCCGGAGCAAATAAAGTCATGCTACCTGTTGTAAGTCGCAATTTTTGTAATCGTACATATGCGTATTTTTTTGTATTGTCATAAATAAACAACAGTTGCAGGAATACGGCAGAGCTTATCACGAGTGTCGAGTGGTATTTTTCACAGCTGGTCAGTATAAAATCGATATTCAATGCAGTAGTAAAGAATCCGCTCCGACCTCTCCAATACTCTATTCCGAACTCGTAAATGCCGGTCATACGTGGCGTTACATACCACCCATCGAAATAACCGTCGACGATTATTAATACAAGTATTCGTTCATGTTTATAAATATCATATTAAATTGTAATATTTGTAAAAAAAAAAAAGAAAAATGTATTAATTATATATAAATATGAAACTTTTACTTTAAATAAAAAAACCCCATGAAATATTTTATGATTTTTATTGTATGTAGAAATATAGTTTGCTTTTAACAAGTTATGTATAAGCAGAGTATAAAAATATGATTTTACTTCTTATTCGATTCTGATTTGATTTTTTTACCTAGAGGAATCATCTCCATCTCTTGTAAATTTCTCCTAAATTTTCTATAAAATTCGAGCACAGCCGTATTAGCCCAAACTTGTTGACTATTAAAATCTAAAATACGTAAACTCTGTAAACTCTGAGCTCTCGAAAGTGCCACATAAGATTGACCAGCGTCAAACACTCTCGACAGGCACATTTCTACACAGTCTAAAGTTAAACCTTGACTCTTATGAATCGAAAACGCCCATGCTAATTTCAATGGAATCTGTTTTCTGTGCACGAGAGCACCAGATGTAGTTTTGATAGTCCATTTCTCGATTTTTGCTTCATATTTAGTACCAGATCGTAATTGAATTATTGGTATATTATTTTTAAAATCGATAACAACACCTCGAGCTCCATTTACTAATCCGCTACTAACATTTATATTTTTTAACAGCATAACTTGAGCGCCAACTTTCAATAGTAATTTGCCAGGAACAGGCAGATGCTGATCTAACATATTTGTCATAGAGCTATCGGAATCTACCGCTGTATATGTTTTAATTTCACCTTTTAATTCATTTAACTGAAATTCATTAATCTCATCAGCTTCTTTAACATGCGAACACAGTCTAGTAGCTAAAACTCCGTTACTTTCAATTTGCTGTTTTGCTGTTTCTTTCAAAGTATTTACAATATCATCCGTAACTCTACCTATTCTAATGTTATTTAATATCTTCACAAATACCTCATCTTTTTGCCTATGGACTGTTCGCAACTCGTAATTAAAATGAACGCACTTCTGCCAAGCCTCACTTTGAAAGCAAAATTTTGCTTTCTCAGTCTTAGATACAGGTGGTAACTGAAAGAAGTCACCACACAAGATTAATTGTATTCCTCCAAAGGGTCTTTCTGTTCTACGTACATGTCTTGCCACAGCCTCAATTTTGTCAAAAAAATCACCATCTACCATAGATATCTCATCTATTACTAAATGTTTTGTTTTTCTCCATACTGAAGTTACCGATGGACGGGAAGCCAATTGAAAGCATTTCTCCAGAGTCGCAGTACCCAAACCAATGCCAGCAAACTGATGTAAAGTAATTCCTCCAATGTGACAAGCTGCTACTCCAGTGCTTGCTGTAGCCATTGTTACATCAGGAGGTAGAGCAGAGATTATCTTCTTCAGTAGAAACGATTTGCCAGTGCCTGCACTTCCAGTGAAAAACACATTTTTTCCAGTGAGCACTGCATTCAAAATTTTACTTTGCTCCTCATTCAATTCTCCTGTTGTAGGATTCTCATATAGCTTTTTTGCTGCCTGTACTTTAGGAGAAGTATCACTGAAATGTTTCCGCTTCTTGGTGGCACTCGGTGATGGAGTGGTGATAGTCGCACGTGATATAGACATAGCTTTCTCCTTTGCTCTGTTGATTTCTGTACTAGTGGATGGACTAATATCTTCAGTACCTGATTGCATGTTTCCTAAAAGCTTTTCTTTCAGAGGATTCTTCATCGTGTTTTCATCTTGACCAGTTATCTTAATATATATAGTCTTCAAGAAATTTATTAAGTTAGAAGACGGTGCATTAGACAAAAACAACGTGCAGTTCTGTTCCTTAAACTTGATGGACGCTTTGCCCTCGGACATAAATTTGTTAAAAACCGAGATACCTTTCAAAGGTAGTTTTGTTCGTACATTCCCTTTGTCCACGTGTATCTCGATGAACAACTCTCGCTGATTGTTCCGAGTCAGGCGTAGAGTCGCCGTTCTATGACTTTGTTTTCTCAAAACAGATCCTTGAGGACTTAACCATTCTGCGATAACGGTGCATGTTAATGAGCAGCCATCTGACTCCATGACTGAATTTACAAAAATATAATCGTCTTCTGAGAAAAAATATTTCGAAAGGTTCACTCGACAAAACTCACGATTCTATTAAATATTATAATTCTACAGATCTCAACAGTTGATCTCATTCAGATACGATAGGAACGACTGTAACAACCAAACCAGAAAGCGCGCGTCTTCACGACAGGTTGTACAACTTATCAAAAGTTACACCCTACTTGAACCTAACCTAACCAACCACGTAGGCGGCTCGCGCTTGACCATCACCGGCTCCGAGCGCCGATCAAATCACTACCAACTATACTACCCAGCCGGGCGGCCGATGACGCACGGCGCTAAGCACGACGGCATATGGATGCAAGCGTCGTTGTGCAACAACTATAGGAACATTGACGCTACAGATAAGTCGCTCTTAAAGTACTTCGCGGCGTGTTGTTTTCTTCGCGGCGAGACATCGGAGATATTGCCGGCGCGGCGTACGAATTTGTTGCTCCGTCATTCGCGGCGTGTTGCATGCATCACGAAATAGAACCACACGGTGTGGATATAGTATACGGAAAAGAACCCCTCATAGCAGACTCACTGACAAGCTGCTTGTACACATGGCTAAGTAGTTGCACCACCGTGGTCATAGCGTTGGCAACAAGACAATAAAAGTTATTATTGCAACGTATCTCTGATATATTTTGATATTAAAAACAAACTTTCATTTTATGTTTACAAGTTGTTTGTTTTTTATATTAATCGAAGAAGTCTATGTGTGAAAGAACATGCGGCAAATCTCTCTCTTTACATTTATGTAATTTTTCTCTGAATAAAATAGTTTAGAAATACTCATTTTCCGATTTGTTTTAATATTTTACTTTTCACCTTTTAATCTATATTCTAATTGTTTCAACTTCTTTTACTTTATAAAAATGTGTGAACGTAATCATACAGTTGGCTAAAGTAGACTTAATATTTAACTTTTGAAAACAACTCGAAAGAAGATATATATTTGCACTCCAAGCCTCATTATTTATCAATGATAATTTGATGAAGTTTCAGTGCCAAGAACTAATGTGTTCGACGCATTATCATAATGATAACGTTAATGCTGTGATCGTTCATTACGTATTCCCCTTTCTTTGTTAATATTGAAATATAAAAAAACCTAGCACTTTCTTGGTAATTTGTTTGTAGATATAGTGTGTTACTTGTTAACAATTTCATCGAGGGAATACGTCGATTAGTTTTAATCTAGATAATAGCGTCCTTGCATTTATAACCAACTCGTCAACATTACGTTTGTTACGGTTTTTTTTAGCGTTTCTCAAAACGCGCGTGCGTGATTAAACAAATGTAATTATTAAATTTTAATATAACAAGGACTCGTAAAAATATGACGTGTAATTAATATACAAGATGTGCTAAATAAGTTTTTAATATTTTAAAATCGCAAAATGCGTCAGATTCACGATCATTTTTAAAATGCCAAAAAAACCGTTTTAGGATTAGAATTAATAAATCGAATTTGTGAGAATTACTTAATTCCACGTGGACATCGCGGAACCGATGCTGCCTACTTAAGCGATTTCTAGCGCGCGATCTAGATGCGCAAGATGACAATAGCCGCAATTACATATCATTACTTTATGCGCTGCATCCCAAGGGGTGACAAGTACCGATCGAACAGCGCCATGGTTACTTTAGGGCTAACAAACGATCCATCCTCGACCGACACACGAACCGACCGGCAGTTTTGAGCTTAAACTCGTCGGGGCTGGACAGAGGTATTACGGGAAATTCAATAATGACGCTTTGCGCGTTTATTCGAGAGACAAGTTTGAGAAAAAGTTGAAGACGGAAAACATTTTTACAAGAAACATCCGCGTTTTAACGCCAAAGTAAATGCCGATAAATGTAAATGATAATTCTTCAGATCGCGATTGATGATTTAACACGTCATGTTCCGTTCGTCGTCAAAGTTTCAAGGGCGCGCTAAGAGCAAAGTGCGAAAAAGGTGGCGAATTTTTCACGCCACCGATTTCGAATCCCTAATGAAACCCAGTTTTACGTTTTGCTTCATGCTCGGGTTCTTCCCCTACAAGATTCACGCTTCTACTTTCGAATTCTCGAGATCGCGCTACATCGTGTCGAGCATCTTCATCTGCATCTTTTGCGTTTACGCACTGGTGATGTTCTACGAGTTAGACATCGCCGGCAACATCAAATTCGGCAGTATGCCCGATACTCTTCAGAGTAACTGCTACTACTTGCTGGGCTTTTTTATCACTATCGTTACGTACATCCTGACTCGTCCGCGGATGCGTTTACTGCAAACGATATCAGACATTTCCTCGAGATTGCCACCGGATACATTTCAGAAGCTCTCTCGTCTTATCCATGCCAAAGACATCATTGGTTTCTTCTTTCTGCTCGGAATGTTGCCGAAGTGTTACTCGGCGCACTTTCTCGATATCATGATCAAGATAATCACGTTGTACGTGACGCTGCTGGTGTTCCAAATGGACATGCTGTACATGAATTGTGTGTGCGTGATAAAGGCCTGCTTTCAGAGAATCAACGACAATCTGACAAACCTGCGTGAACTCTTAAAGAACGACGAGCCGCATCTTCTCCGTCGAATCTATCACGAGCAAAAGAATCCGTTTCTGTTGATGGAACTCAAGGCGTTGAAAAAGCAACATCTAATGGTCAGCGACACTCTGCAGCTGCTGAACACGATTTTCAGCTTGCAGCTCCTCGCTACTATAGTCCTGACCTTCGCCGAGATCACCTTCAGTCTGTATTTCTACATAATTCAATGGAGGGGCAATGGTGTGTCTATTATAAACCTTGAAAAACAGATCTGGTATCAGTACTTCATTACGTCTATAGCATACTATTCGACGAAAATAACATTAATAGTGTGGGCCTGCGAAACCGGCAAAGATCAAGCCTTGGAGATCGGTACTACCGTTCATGACGTGCTTATCAGCACGAGCGATAAGCAAATTAAAGATGAGGTAGCGATATTTTATTTAATTTATGAATTTATTTTTACACTTGTGACTAATTCGACACACACACACATTTTAGAACTTATCTACCACTCAAATTTTTGTTTTATTTTAAAGTTTACGAGATTTGTATTTTTGAGATATTTTCGAGATTTGTATTTTTAAAAAATGGATCTCAGTTTGTTATATTTCTATTTTAATATCCTGGTATGTCATTGTGCATTTCTTGCAATCTGACGTTGCAGTTGCAGCTGTTTTCTTTGCAAATATTACATCGCGACAACATATTCTCTGCGAAGGGTCTTACAGTGGACGCGACACTTCTCACCGCAGTAAGTAAACTATTACAATCGTTTGTCTTCTCATTAATCATCTATTGTTTACTTTGTGATTCTGATTGTAGATAGTGGGTAGCATTACCACGTATCTGTTGATTTTAATACAATTCATGGTATCGGGGGATGATTGCAATGGGAAGCAAGCCTCAAATAACACTTTGAAGAACTAAATTATTTAAAACTGATGACATAACACGTAATCAAAAATATATGTACATATATGGGAAAAAAGTAAAAAGAAATATTATATATTTTGAACTCCTTAAATTTATACTGAATCTTTCTCTTAACTGTGTTTTTTGCATTACAATTTAAATAAATTATTGTCAATACTTAGAGTAACTTTAAAATTCCACTTTAAGTATGCAAAAATATAATACGCAGAATTTGTTAATATTTCAATTTCTGTTAGATAATATCACATATGCTGTTCTATGTCGCACATACATATCCGAGCACATATATATCCGAGCAGTTTAATATATAATGCAGATAATGAATAAAAGAATAATTCAAATAATTCTTTCGTTTCATTGACGCCATATCGGCGGCGATACCAATGCGGAAATTCAGCGATAAATGCAATCTTCGAGGTCTAAAATTATCTTAACGCTAACAGCGTAGGAGTGGATTTGCGTTGCAAACTCGCAACATGTAAAATTATCAAATGCAATTTCTTCATAAATATTTGCATTCTTGTCGCCAAATGTTTCGTGAAAAATAAACTCTTGTTTATTCTTTATTACTTTGCCACAACGGCATGACGCTGTTCCTTCTCTCCGAAAACTTGTACAGTTTTAATTTTTCGCGATCTAAATTCATTTCGAATGAATTAAGTAATATCAAAGTTTTCATTCTCATTTTAATGTCATCAATATATTCAGATTTTCTCATTTGGAAGTACGTATGGAAGTTGTGTATGCAAACTTTTATGCAGAAATGTATCGAGTCCAGCTTAATTGCGAAAAGGGGTTAAATTGCCGTCTCTTCTGTATTTATTAAAACAAACACAAAAGACTTGAAAATCTATATTCAATATTATATGATTTTATCGTTTATATGATCCTACATTAGTTTAAAAAGTAATGATAACTTTCTGTCTTCTTCTTCTTCTGCATTGACTGACACTTACCAAAGGAAACAATAACGAGAGAGAGAGAGAAATAAGTTTGTATGGAAGCGACACACAGTAAATTATTCGTTATATTTGGAGCGAAGGATGAATTATGTTGACATATTATCCACATATGTGCAATAATAATAGATGTATTAAGTCCACAACGGTTTGTATTATTATTTACTAGCGATTCGCCTGCGACCGCGGCGGCCTCGAAAGTGACGTTTTCCATTCAAAGCGGAGACATGGCGGCAACAACAGCGTTACCATGATCTATTGCTGTCAAGGTTAATGTTTTCTACTGCGCGACAATATCCGTACGTAGGCTCTCTCTCTTTCGCAAAGGTTAATTAGGACTAAAAGGCTAAATGCGTTAATGATTCCAATCCTCTTTTAATGCACGAATATCGGGTCACGGCGGACGGTATGACGCGTGTATCTGTCGCGCGCGCGCGCAAAGTGGATTCTACCTTTTCCTCTTTTGCAGCTATTTATAAAATATTATAATTTTTCTTCTCAGAAAGCGCAATTCTTTTTTTTCCTTTCCTTTACTTTGGTCTGCCGCAAGAAAACTTTTTTAGGCATGATGTCCAGAAAACACGACACGTGACGCAAAACCTGAAATGTCAACAGTCATAGAATTATACGAATATTAACTAGGAGTAAGATATAAGGAAATTCCGTTGTGCGATACCTGTTATATAATGCAATGATAAATAAACTGAACAAAACGACTTCTCTGCGCATACACCGACAATTATAACTTTGTATCAATCACTTGACCCACGTGCGACTTTGATAAGAAACACGTCCACGAAGTGAAACGCACATTACACACACGCACACATAAAGCGTCCCAGACTTTTCGTCGAGTCACTTTCTGTGCGCGAGATCGCAAACTTGCGATATAAACGCGATGACCTCTCGTGACATTCCTTTCTAAAGAAAGATCTCCGAATTTGCCAGAAAATTCATGGAGACAAAAGATCGGCTCTCTCCAAATGTGCACCTTGGTGCCGAATATGGCGCCGATTCACGCGCATACAATCCTTATAGTGCCAAATCGTACATAACAGCATCTGTATTACACGACTGCGCACACAAAAGCTATAAATGCATTTACGTGTTTGCACAGCGTGATAACCGTACTCGTATCAATCATCTGCGCACCGCGTACGTACATTGTGGAACAATGAATCGGTTTTGCGAGAGGAGAGAATGTTTCCCTACTACGCGCTGTTTCACTCCGCTCCGTGAGCCAGACCGACAGGTGAAAGAGAACTGCGGATGGAGGGGGAATCCTCTCTTCTTCTCTCGGCAAAACCGATTCATTGCTCCGTAACGTGTACTACGTACACGACGGAATCTCAAGTACATCGGGCAACGTGCGCTGTGATTCTTTCAAACGGAATGCGCGGAGTTCCGTTCTTTTGTCTAATTCTGGCGATGCGCGAGGAGGAGGAGGAAGAGAAGAAGCAGGAGGTTGCAAAGCAAAAGAGGAAGAAAAAGACAGAAAGAAAGGAGAGCGCATCGCGCGAGGTACAGCGAGCGTAGGCGATCACGCGATTGCGCGACCGCGTCTTTTCGCGCGCTGCGGCGCCTCTCTTTGACCGATACGCAATTCGCAATTGTCAGTGTCGCGCCAACCGTTGCGCCGAGTGAACGTTCTTGGATGTTATTCTCTCGCGTCGTTTCTCGAGAGCGATTTAGCAAGTTGAAATTTTCTTCGCGGATATTAAATAAAACGAAATTTCGTCTCGAGAGTGACAACAATTAAATTTTGTTCTGAGCGCGGACAAGTGAAGAATTTGTTTTTAGTTAAACGATAAGATAAGAGGAAGGAAAGAAGATATCTAGCACACGTATAATCTTACATGTGGACAAGTGTGTTACATTTTCCTCATAAGAGAGAAATTACGAGCGTGCCAAACGAACTGACATATGCCGAATTTGCCGCGATTAGATAAAGCGCATGACGAAAAGCATGTGAAAAGTGCAGATGCACCGGCGCAACGACAATCGATGCAGAAGCGCGGCCTCGCCCGCGGATCTTTAAATGTCGTCTGCTCTCTATCAGAGCACAAACAAGCTGTTTTCGCGCTCACGGCGACGAGAATCAAGGAAGACTCTGGGATAACACAAACAAGCGGATACGTAATAATCGTGCGCGCGAGTGCGATGCGGTGATTTCGATTCGTATACAAGAGAGCGCCGTCGATCCACGACACACGTTGATTGTTGCGGCTGCGCGTTTGAAGGAGGTGTGAAAGGGCGCCTTGTTGAAATTTCTTCCCCGTAACGATAAGGTAAGTTATCGTTATATACTCTACGTACATTTGTTTCATCCACGGCATTTCTCAGCTGCTATTTGTACGCGAGTTCGATCGCAACGCTTCAATTTACGCGTCGAATTAAGTTAATTATCGCCATGTTCGAGAATCGAGTTTTTTTTTTTTTTCACCATCTTATCTTTAGTTAAACTTCATCACACATAACGGGAATGTTCGTAGAAAGTTTCCTACAGAGCGTGAAAATGAAAGTTATTGCCAACGAGAAGTTAATATATCCCAGCGTCATAAAAATTTACGATTGCTCTTGAAGCAATGTTGATTCAACGTGAAAATTTGAATTTGAATTATGATTCTGATACATATTAAATTGAAAATTATATTATAACGCAATATTTTTATATTCTATTTGGAAACTATAATAAAGATACCATATATTTCTGTATCGAATTTATCACTTGTGCTTTAAGTTCGTAAAATGTTGAAAAAGTCTATCTCGATTACTTGAAATAATTAGTATTTTTTGAATGAAAAATTACGTGATTTTAAAAAATAACAATTCAATCAAGAAAACAATAAGCGCTAAAATAACATAACAAAGAATTCGATTCGCATGCTATATTTATGTTGCTTGCAACTGTTGTATCGTCAATTCCAAGCGAGACGACGTGAAATGTGGATAAAACCATTTGGCGCGCACTTTGCGGAATTGTTAGGGTTACTGTCTCTCGTAAATATAAGTGCGTGACTCGTCTAACTCGCATACGAGTAACAATAAAGTTCGTTCCAATAAAGTACCGGAAATATTACACATCTCACTTTCAGCAAACCTATTGGCGATTTGTCATAGAACTTTAGATCGAATCGATGTTTAAAAAGTATGTTTATTTCCAACATGCCATACGTTTTTAACATCTGCTTAAAAATAGTCTGAATAAATTTCTGGAAAAAATCTCAGGTAATGGTGAAGATATTGTAAATATTTGAAATTATGTTAACATGTTGATTGAAAAAAAAAAAACGGAATAAACAAAAAAATAAGTCATCGCCGCGTGTAAGGGAAGTCAGTGAACTTTTCGCCACACGACAGCGTTATAGACGTGGTAGACGTTTCCGTAAGACATGCTCGAGCGCGCAATAGCGTCTTCGAGTTACATATATTAACCCTTATGTTAAGAGAAACTAACGAGAGAAAATTTATGAACTTGTGCGACAATAAGTCGTCCAATTTTGTTGGCAGTACGCATCCGATCGTTTCTCATATTTATAATAATTTCAGACACAATGCTAGTAACAAGAACTAGTTAGGAATAAGAATTATTGGCATAGTACTGCTAACAAATGCAAAAATCATATAGTATATAGTGCACAAATCGTACTATATAAATGAAAGAAATTTTAAATAACAATGTAGTAAAACCAGCAACGTGAAAAGCGTTATGTTACAGAAAAACTCTCAATTTTGTGACTATTAAATATACATTGTGATTACACAACGTATGTTATCACAATGATTACACTATGAGGTTAAGTCAACTACGTAAAACGTTGAAACAACTATATGTTTACTTTAGTTATCGTATTTAGAAACTGTTTCTAATAATCTTCTTTCGTAATCGATTCTTTTAATTATCTTTCTCATTTAATTCCAATTTCATCTTCACAAACACGGAGTTAAACGTCACGAGCGACGTCAATCATTATTTAATTCGCACTCATTGCTCGATCCGTGTTTATTATCTCGCAGGCTTGTGACGTGACGTGTATACAACTGCGGCAGCGGCGGAGGATGCGAAGTGCATTGAAAACGCGAGACAAATTGAGTCAACTTGCGCTGATATTGCCGTTCGACAAATTTGGCGCAAATAAACAATCGACGGCCAGCATGTGAAATTAATTCGCTACAGAACGTATTTGATTTCTGCGCCTCGAAGCGATCTGTTGTACAAGTTTGTTTGAATGAAAAGTGCGAATTCGCGACAGGTAGCGCGCGTACTTCATTCTCTCACAACGGTGAAAACAATTTCGCGAATTTCTTGACGTACACGTGCACATTTGACGTATGTATGTCGAACGTACGCGACAGTAGTTGGGCGGTGCGTTTATCATTGTCGACGCATTTATTATCCATCGTGCAGCGCGACATAAAAACGCGCGGCGATTAGAAACGCTCGGAAGTGAAGTATGGTATCTGTGCCCGCACGCGAGAAGCCTATATCTTCAGATTTGAATAATGGAAAAACAGGAACATTATTTTCTCTTTATGTAGAATTTTGGAGTTACAATTAATGTTCAGTAATTGTGTATTGATTTATATTGCAACCACAGAAATTTTTATATTAGCAGCAAAATCATCTGGAAATAAAAATGCGGGACTCCGTATATTTTACTGAAAATAGCAACTCATACCAAACACACATGGCGTTTCTCTTTCTTTTGTATAATTTTTTTTTTTTTTTCTTTAATTCCCGCTTCGAGAGATCCGCCTCCGTTCACTCCGATCGCACGACCTTGCCCGTGATAGTCATTGTCGCGATACCACTCGATCGGAACGAAACCGGCATCGAGCGGATATGATTCGTTCGGGAGGGAAAAAAGACGTTGTAAATACAACGCGCCTTTTGTGTTAGAATTAATCGATTCAGTTTTCTCCGAGGTCGTTCGATGCGCTACGCGCAACATACGCGCGAGCACAGATAACGCGCTTAACTATGTATAATTTGTCAGTTTAAATTTAATGTACGCAGCAACGTGTATATATATATATGTACTCTCGCACACACAAAATGGAATTGGCGCGAATATTACAATTTAAAATTCAAAATAACGAACAGAAATTATTTCAATACTGTTAAGTCATGTGTGTTCACATTCGTACGAGCATCTTGTTTGCGCGATCGGAGGTTCACTTTGCGTCAGCCCAATTTGCGTTCTTTCTTCCGTGCGCACTCGCTTTCGCAAATTACGAACGATATTGATTTTGCGCAGTTCGCACTTCCAATTGCGCTGTTAAGGCTTTCCATTTATCTTGTGCATCTCGATTGCTTCACTGTGCATTGCTTAACATCTTTCTCTCTCTCTCTCTCTCTCTTTCTCTGGCTATCTGTGTCTTTCTTGGAGCCCAATTGCGACGCAATTCGGAGAGTTTGAGCGTGCAAAGAGTCACGACTAAGTTCTCTTCGATTTACTTCAAAGGTGTTTTAAGTCGACGCTACCTTTCATTCTACGTGTGAAGACATTAATTATGCGAGAGGAAAGAGTGCAACACGCACAACACGAATGCACACGCGTGCTGTGCTTCGCACGCAAATGGCGACCCCGTTGACATCACGTGCCGTGCATTTACGTTCTTGTTTTTCCTCGTGATCAACACGAGTCACGAACCTGATCAAGATACGCATTTACCCGAAATATGAAAAAAAAAAAAACAAAACAGAATGAAAAGAGAAAGTAAACTATAGACTTTCATCCACAATCTTATCTATATACGTATATATACATATGTAAATATAAAATATATGTGTACATATATATATATATATATATATATATATATATATATAAAATATACATATAAGATAATTATGTTTATATTATAAAAAACGATCACACACACATCAACTCTTTAGAAATTTGTATTATATATGTTTGTTATTTTACTGACTCATATACTTAAAAATATCTAGTATTTATTACACCAATATCTAGTTTTCTTAATAAGTTTTATAAATACCGTTCCGGCAAAAAGAACAGGCAGTGTGCAGGCAAACTCGGAACTGTACAAACTAAAGTGATAGAACTGAGAGACATTTGTAAGTAAAGTTTTGTGTCTGGTGTAACATTGTGTTTAGCAAAATTGTTTTTTGGAAAAGTTGTGCTTTCGCGCATCTTACAATATAAACGCGCGCGCACACACACGCACAAACACACACCATCTTTAATTTAAAATAATCACATCTATATCAATTTAAAAGTTACGAAAAAAATTACAGTTCATACAATAAAACATGTAACAGACAGAGAAAAAAAGTTTCAGAGGTCAGAGTTTGAGCGATGCGACATGCCGAATGCTCATAAAATCGCCGATCGTGAGTGCGAATTTTCATTCAATGAGCTTTCTTTCTCACAAAGAAACGGATCCACTCGCGAGAAAGCTCTCGTACGCGATGACAGGCTGTTTTTCTCGAAGCTGCGTAATGGCGCGAGATGCACCAAGCGCGTTGCAGCCGGCGGAGATAAAATCGGATCTGGGTTGCGGACACGCGCGCGAGTCGCGAGCGTGTGAGTCAGTCGGACGACTGTATGTACGTCGCGTCGCGCACATCGTCCGCTGGAACAAACAGAATTATTAGACTGATGCACGAATAACGATGCCGCCGCGCTTCGGCATTGACCGATGCGTATTTTTCTGCCGGATGAGTGTTTTCCGTCGTCTCTTATGTAAGACGCGCAAAGAACACACACACATCGCAAAGAGAATACTGTAATACATGTGTACATATATATATATATATATATATATATACACATATATATACATATATATACATAAAATATATCTTCCTAATACAAAATTTTTTGATTGTTAAAAAGAGAAGAAAAAGAAAAGGAAATTAAACCGCATAATCGGCCCGACACGCGCGATCGAGGACTTACGTAATTAAATTTGTCGAGAAAAACAACTTGATATAGCGACGGAGATACACTGCTCGCACGGAATAATTTTTATACGTATTATACTTTCCGAGCGAGTGATTGCATAAAACTTTAAGAGATCTGTTTGTCTCGTAAATAAAAAAAAAACAATTACTGAATATAGCCGATGATTCATTCTAAAATCTTAAAACAGAATTGCTACGTATAAATAAGATAATTACATCGGGTGAGTTTGTGACATGTACTTTAAAAAATACTTATGTATATGCGCTCTGTGTTTTTATTAGTTTATAATTACATAGCATTTCTGCTGTCTACACTGCGACGAATTCACAGACGTTCCGTCCGTTCGTACCGAATCG